AAAAAACATCTTGAAGCTAGGACCGGCGCAAAAAACACCTTGGAGGTAGGACCGGCGCAAAAAACACACTGTCGCAAAAAACACTAGACAAGTAGGAATAACTGTTTGTAATTACGCGGAAAGAATCGACGCAAAAAACACCTCAAGTTTGGACAAGCGCAAAAAACACACTAGACAAGTAGGAATAACACTACTGTTTGGAATTACACTGGTTTCCGTCGCAATTAACACACGTCCCAGCACGATGATGGTTTTGCGCGTCATCACTATGTCTATCTAATAAGTCCACTACTTTGGAACAGCATTCACTTGTCCTGTTGCTTTCAACCCTTTATTTCGATCCCCATTTTACTGCCAACAAGTTGGCCAAGCATGGCCAATCTCCTGGCGGGGCTTCTGCAATGTGCCAGTAAACGTGTTCAACGCTTTCAATGTCTTGAAACATTCGAGTCCTGCACACGATGAAAGCAGCAACTAGCAAATCCCCAAAGCAACAATAAAATCCCAGAGTAGGTGAAACTGTGAAACCTGGTGAACTATGCAATATTGCATTCAAACATATCCACCTTCCCCTGGACTATTCATATATACTTCAGGAAGTCTAAGACCATCCGTCGCCACTTTCTGTCTTCAACTGCAGAGCTTGTGGTCTCAACTACAGCAAGGTGCATCACCATCTGGATCACTGGGCGTGAGGAGGCCCCAAACATATTTTCATCCCTTCATCACACGGATTTCTTGCAACATCCACATCACACCCAAGAAGATCAACCAGAAGCCAAACACCAACCAGCAATGGTAATGCCCTTCCTATGTGACAGCCGCTGTACAACTCAGTTTACAACTCAGAGTTTTGTCCCTTTTCATGGCTGTCTTCACAAGTCGCGCCGTGGATCCCCAGGACACGGATCACATGTCACTCATACGATGATCTCCTTGGACACCACCTACCGCGATGGGAACGAAGAAAACGCGAAAGCACAGTGGTTTGGAGGAACAAAACTGCTTCCATGAAGATCGGTGGACAAAGAGCTTCCACATGGAGTGAACGATCTGGCTTGGGCAGGGTGACTTGTGGCATCACAAGGAGTTTGCAGAGTGCCAGTTCGTCACTGGGATTGTTGCCCCTGCCATTGGCTTTTGCCTGCCTGTCCTTTTTTGATCTCTAAGACCTAGCAGTCCTGGTGGCATCACCAGCTTGTCATCAACATGCAGGACTGGATTGTGACATGAGCCCCCTCAAAGTCATCTCTACTTTGGAAAGTTGAGAGCACTCGTCACGAGTTTAGGGCTATACTCACAGAAGCCTATGAGGAGCCAAAGGACACGTAGGCCAGGCCTAAAGGTCTTACAAGATCTTACAAGGGTACCACCATCTGAAATGTGTATCACAAAGGCATTTTGCTGAGATACGTCTGACGATAAAGGGCAATACAAAGAGCAATACAAGGAATGCACTGTTTCCGGGCAATGTGGCTCATCCTTTCTTGGATGAGCTTCAAGATGCTATGACCCATACCTGTTCCAAACCTACGCATCGGCCGATTTCTGCTGCAAGTCTCCTGTGGAGCGGCGGCTGCCAAATACTGCGCCACCGTCAGATTCGAAGGACCACCTCAGTGGTCCAGCTCAGTGGTGAACGAACGCCCCCCCGGTGTCCAGCTCAGTCCAAATGATTCGGATTGGTGTGTGGCGTCCTCCCCCCTACCCCGAAAAAATCTTCCAACTTCAACGTCAAGAGCTTCCGCATTCCGCATGTAAGATCGATTGGCATCTTCCCAAGTTCGGTCGCACTCTTGAGTTGGAAGGCCTCCATTGTTCAAAAAGGGCATTCAACTGAGCCTCAAGATAGAGTCCTCCACCTCCCAATCCAATAAAGGCGGATGTCAACTTGTCTGAAAGACCACACTGCTAATCAGCGAGCAAACCTAGGCGTAGTAGTCTTGTCTAACTCATCTTAACTCCGGCAGCATGTCAGCTTGATCGTCGTACCCAATTTTGCAAGGTCAGTCCGACTCGTGTTTACTTGGAAATGGGCAATGGAAACTTGTGCTGTCATCCCTTGGGCTGTGACATCCCGCTGCAGGTGAAGCTGAGTCGGAGTCCCAAAGCCTGTGGATCCACAGGGTTGGGGCGAAGCCGGATGTAAAGCACATTAAGATACATTAAGCTCTCCCACAGATCCCAGCTCGTCCCCAGGTCACACCCAATTAATAGTAAATACCGATCCATCCACCGAATTTGAGAAAAAACACACATTCCATCCATCTGGATCACCCCGAAAACCATCTCACCCCGCCAATTGTTTGTCAAAAACACCGTAGAAGTCCAGGAAGGTGATGTTCTCCAATTCGATGGTGAAGTACCTCGGTGCCGTTCCGCCCAAGCTGTTGGTTTTTTTTTGTACGCCACTGATGTGGCTCAAGGAAAGCATGGATCACGCGCAAACGGTGATTGGCCACAGAGAGAACTGGTACCTCATGCACACCTAGGACCTCAAAAGACTTGTGTGCTTTCTGGAGGCACATGGAAGGGCACTTGATCATGAGGTTTGGTAGGATATGTAGGAATTGGCAATTGGTCAATAGCTGGGTTTGGTAAAACAAGCGTCTCAACATGTGTGGCCTCCGTACGAAACACCAACAAATAACATGCTAGAACAGTGTTGCCGTGCAAGATTTGGGAAGAAATCTACATCCATTTTCGTCTTCGTCTCTAGGGTTTCACACCACACAACTCCTTCGTTGCTCATTTCCCACGCAAATCGTCGATCGCTTAGTCCGCTTAACGCTTCCTCCCAGCTGCTGTCCACCGGTGTGTGCGCCACCGGTCGCCAGCCACGGCGCCAGGGGATGCTTCACTTTCATCCGTTCCTCCGTAGTAACAAGAAGTTATTAGGAACAAGTGCATCGCTTCTAGTAACAAGTGCCTTACTAGTAGTAACAAGAAGCTAGTAGTAACAATTGCTTACTAGTAGTAACAAGAAGCTATTAATTTAGATTTAATTCTATTTTAATTCTAATAGCTTTTTGTTACTACTAGTAAGGCACTTGTTTCTACTAGCTATTAGTAAGGATGCTTCACTTTCATCCGTTCCTCGGCGTCCAGCAGCTCGGTGGCGTTCAACACGCGCAGGCGACCGGAGAGGGTGATGCCTAGCGGAGCGGAGCGGAAAGCCAATGGCCGTACAGTACAGTGGGCGTGCCATGTTGAGTATGATTTGGTTTCGGAATGGATGCTGAGATCAAGGGAAACACATGGGGAACATTGGGGAAACACATTGATAGACCAGATATGTGTCCCAAATGCTTTCTCCTGTTCTCAACAAGGCTTGCTGATGTCACACCAGCATGGACAGTGGGTCTGCCCATGTGCATCTGGTTCACTTATTTGGGGTTGCCTAACACCACCAATTGTGCAACCAAATGCAGCGCGAGTGTGGTGTAGCATACGCTCAAAAGTTCAAAAGAAAAGGGGCAATTCATGGTGACTCAAAGTTTGTAGCTAAGACAAACTGTCACAAAATAGGACGGAAGACCTGGAGAAAGTACTGGACCATGCAAATGCTCCTTCCATGTCTAGTCACGCCGAAAAGGACACATGAGAGGTGGACAAACATGTGCAAGGTTGCTAACACCCAGCAAGCTAGACATTTGCTCCTGAACTAACCGGTGCACCCACAGCCAGAAGTGCGCATGCCCATTTCAAGCGCACTCTGGAGTGTTCGATTTTGGATTGTTCAATGCGTAAACATCAACACATCAACACATCATCATCTGAAATCTGAACGCTACAAAGAAAGCAATCAAACTAGCAATCTTATAAAGATCAATAATATTATTGCCAGGGCTGCATCTGGCTACCTACCCTTACACCATCTTACCCCGTCGTACTGCCCTAGCATGCCCCAGCAGGCCCTCCCAATGTCCCTATAGACATTAGACATCCGTCCCTCCACACACCGCTTCAGGCGCCCAAAGATCTGGATCCGGGCGGCGGGCGCAAATCGGATCCTCCGTCTCTCCGCAGCTGCCGCTGCCCGGCGCAGGAAGACCCGCTTCGCTCATCGTCAGCACCGCGCGCGCGTCAGCGGCGAGATCGGCGCTGGAGGGGTCCGGCGTGGGAACGTAGAGCATTGGGAGGCCTGGTGGAATGGATGTAGGTTCAATAGAGAACAGGAGTTTCCCATAAGTTCAAGTAGAACAAGCACTTAGCAGTTTGATGATGTGTGAGTTCTGTGCGTTCAAAAGTTGCACAAGTGACCAAGGGGACTTACGTCCTTTGGCATGTAAAGGACTTGTGCATGTGTGCTTGCAAGTCGTCTCTTGACAATACAGTGAATCAAGGCAGTCAGTCACACCTCCAAGGAGTGATACCTTAGGTGATGTCCAACATGTGCTTTTTGGGTTCGTTGGCAGTATGTGGGAAGCGAAAACACTGCGATAGGAACACTGTCGCTAGAAGCAAAACTGTTCTTGAGACAAGTTTCTGCGACCATTTGAAGTGATTGGCAAGAAGTTCCTGCTTGAGATTTTGCAACCATTCGAAGTTCCTCCGACCATCCCTGCAATATCGGATTCAATATCGAGTTTGTCTCGTCTCACCACCAAAACTGGGTGGTCCGTTTCACCAAGTTCCTACAAATCGAATTGACCAAATCTCCCACCTGTGCTGTTGGTGCCGACGCCATCCGCCACGGAACGCACGTTCCTGAGAGATCTGAGGTGAACATCATTCCTTCCTCCGGAAAAATCCCTGGCACTGCACTAGTTGAACAGGTTATGACCGTGCTAAAACACTGTAAAAACACTCTGTGACTGGGTAGCCCTGCTAATCTCACATGCACTGCTCAAAAAGCAAATAGCTGATTTGTCCGTCCCTTGCCCTTTACTTCACAAACGTCAGTCCATTTTGACTTCTGATTTCCACCTGGCCAGGCACTGCCTCTCCACTCTCTGTCTCCACTCCCGTCAGGGCTCCCCCAAGCCATTCCTGGCCGCCGCACTGAACTTGTCCCCAGCGCTGCCCACACGCTGTGTGCCACCAGCCAGCGCGCGCGGTCTGCCAGCTGCGACCAGGGAGGTGGCTTGCTGCCAGGCTGCAAAACGGATGACCTGGTGGTTTTCGTCACTCCAATCAGCGAAGGAGGAAACACGTTGAAGAAACCAACAAATCGCCTGAAACCCTAAAGACGACCTTTGTTGAACCGAAGCCAGTGGTGAGGTTGTTTCGCCCTAGCCTAGCAGGGTCGTATGGCTCATAAGTCTTAGTCCAATGGTTGTAGCTCAAAGTTGGGGGTCTCTCACTTGAAAGCCACCCACCAATCTCAATAGAAAACATCTCGCAAAACAGCATGCGCATTCAAACGGTGTGTCTTCGAGTTGGCCGAACGCATCGAGTTTCCACAAGCTTCCCTGATGGAAATCTGGCCAGTTTGGGCAAATTGGTGGATCAATCGTAGATGGGGAGGAGGCCTGAATTGCACTTTGGCTTGGCGTTTTCAACTCGGTGATCAATCATCAGTGGGATCAGTGGGAACAATCATCCCGTCAGCTTTCAGCTATGAGAGTTTTCCAGCTCCAAAATGAACAGAGTGGGTGGGATTTTGCGACATTAGCAAGGTTTTGTCATTTTAGGTTTTCACCCACAGCCAAAATGAATGAATTCGAACGCATCAAGTCTATCCCCAAAAAACATCATCCATAAACCAAACTTGGAATCCACCAAACATGACCCTCCCCCTTTGTTTGGTTCCCATGGCACTTGACAGCTCCCTTGAACTATCCATCGAAGGCCCGTGCGCCGCACGCTAGGATGAGTGGAAGACTGGGCCATGGTCCAACTACACTCCCTGGAATAATGATGGAAGTGGACAACCACCTATTTGTAGCCATGCCATCCACTTGCATGATGATGCCAGGTAGTGTATTCTTGGAACATCTTTGGACAATCTCTGACAAACTAAAACACCGGGGACAGCAACACGCAACACGAGCAACTTCACGTGCCATGGTTTGGACCCCAACAGCCCTGTATTGACAATTGATGTGGACTGTCCCAAGCAACCCAATGCAATTGACTTGGCCTCCCAGGGCCTACTGCTCCCACCGTGCTCCCAGAGCCTGCTGCTGGCAGCCCAAGGAGTGGTGTGCCGCGGCTGTGCAGCCCAGAAGACATCCAGGGAGATGTTCTCGCCGCCGCCGTACATGTCGATCATCCAAACCTCCGACGGGTTTCCGCGTCCAAAACATGTCGCACATCTTGAATCAGACCTGGGTAGTTTGGTGACCCAGGGTGACATGTTGATTGCAACAAATGAGAGTCATTTTCCAGTGCCTCGGAACATGTTGATTCCATGGTAGCTGATGATAGTTTGATGCATTACCATATGCTCTTCAGATCTCATCAGCTATAACCTGATGATCGATTCAGGATGCCAGGATGATATCAAGACATGCAGCTCGTCACGAAAAGATCTGATGTCGTCACCTCCGAGAGCTGAAGCTCATGCACCGCGAAGTGATGGCCTCGTCGACCATCGACCGACTTTGGTGGCGTTTCAACACCCAAAAGTCCAAAGGGTTGGCAAACAGGCTCCTCGTCCAAATAAGGCTAGCGGCTAGGGCTGTCGAGGAAAGATATGGAACAATCCGAACAATCCCAGTTTGCAAAAGGAGGAAGGGCACGGACAGTCATGTCATGCCTCTAAAGCAACATACTCGATTGTGGATGAAACAAAGTTCACTGTGGATGCGCCAAAACCCACGTACGAGTACAAAACATGGTCATACGTGTCACATAATTATCTGTATCCACACATCAAGTCCACATCACTGCCAGCAACTGCTTGCCACCAAGCCGCTGGCTGGCCAATGCTTCATCTGAGGGTGCCGGGCAAACAAGGCCTCCTTTCCCAATTGCACGTCCTGCAATGCAAACGCCCCGGGTGGAAGATGTCTAAAGTGTGGCCAAGGGTTGATGGCTCTAATCGGTGCATTCAGAAGTTGTTCAGTGGGGCTTCTTATACTACTTCAAGTCTGGGGGAGGGTTGACTATTGAAGTATTATCTAGGGGTTTCAAGACTGGTTACTGGTTCAATGAAAGTTAAAAACTCTCGACAAATGCTTTGTGTGCTTTCGGTTTAAACAGTGTTTGCTCCCTTCTCAAAGTGTTCCAACCTGATCAATCAGGAAGCAGGCTGTTGCGCGGCGTCTGAAGGGTGCTTGCACTCCAAAACAGGACCATCCCTTTCCATTTCTCTGCACGCAATGTGCACGCAATCCAAGCGCCACTCACCAGGATCGATCGATCAGTTCGTCTCGGATGGGATGCCCAGAACCTCCCAGCGCTGCCGCCTCCGTTCGTCCCCAACGACGCCTCCCCTTCACTCTTCCGAAGGATGCCCGAGGCCGTCAGCTTCGCACAGCGCGGGTCCTGGCGTGAGAAGGTGCTCACTTGCTCTAAGCGGTGCTTGGAAAAGCAGAAACCGGACAACTCTATGGTCTGGTGTTGGTCTCCGTCCATCTCTGTCAGACAGTCGAGTCCAACATATCTAACAATATGAACTGTAACCCCTTTTTTGATTTTGCATCCAACATATTTTGAATAGAAAGGCAAACAATGCTCCAACCATCAGCCACTGGGACTCGGCAGTGTTCCATTCAATCGCTGAGACGCACGACCTCTACACTGGGACACGGTCTGGACGTACGACCCTCCACCAGGACGGTAAGTAGAGCTCGAGAGGGTATTCCACACCAACGAGCAATGAACATACAAAGGTATCGAACACACAATGGACAACGGCTACGGCTACATACACACACGGTGATCAGCGAGCATCCCAAAGCCATGCCTATGACCGACCACGTTCCAGTTGGTTGTTGACGTACCAACAATGGCACATGTGGCCTATCCAGTGTTTGCGTGAAGGGGCCTTGCTTGGACGATAGGATTGCCAACGCTGCTGTGGCTGATGACTGATATACTAGGAAATGAATCAAAAGTACCATATTCTCCACTTGCAAGAAGACGTACTTCCCCATCTTCCTCCCCCAGAAACCAACCAGAAAGTGGATACACGAGCAACATCTCCATCGGCACCATCCGATATTTTCCCCATGTTTGGCCCAGTCCACTGCACCTGAACTACAAGTAGCTTCTAGCTACTAGTAGAAATGCACTTGTTACTAGCTTCTTGTTACTATAGCAGCGATGGCCTCCACCTAGTAGCTTCTTGCTACTAGTAGTAACACCATGCCTTCCCGCTCCTCAGGGTCCAGTGTGGCGTTGTGCATCAGCGAGGCCTGGCTCAGCGTGAAGGCGCAGGGCAAGCCCTGCGGCGCCGCAGCGGTGTAGTCGCCTCGGGGAGACCAAAGGGTGACCCGGTGGTCGGGAGGAGCGCAAAGGTTTGGGTCGGGTTTGAAGGAGCAAAACAACATCTTTGGATGGAGTTGGAATGCGGGGAGGATGGAACGATAGCCCACAAGCAATTTTTTGGAAACAATGATGAAACCAGGGCAAAGGATAAAGGATGGGCCATTGCAACGGTCAATCCATACTGTTCATGTTGTTTCTCCAAACTTTTGGATCGCTTGCTCTTAAACTCGGGTGATACTCGGGTGTTCCGCAGGACGTGTCCTTTGAAAAATACGCCAAACAAAATCACCTGATGTTTGTCAAACATCCTCCAAGCGCAGGATTATCAGGCCAAGATCACACCCTTGAACGGCAAAGTGAATGAAACCTTGGAGCCATCTTGGGTAAAACTTTCTTGACCAATACTTTTTTGAAAGACATCCGCATGTGTTTTTTGTTTCTTGAAGATGGAGATTCCAGCCGAATAACTGCGCAGGAACTCAGAGTTCCCCAACAGTCAGTACTGCGTGGCAATTTTGGGCTCCGATTGGATCCAGCACGCCCAAAACTGTGGGTAGGTCAAAGAACAGGTACACATACCTTTAAGTCTCTTGATGAATATTACCCCCCCATTTGGATGCACGAACTCGCGGAGGGTCTGCGACGCGTACACGCCTCCACGCCCTCCCTTGCTGGATTGAAGAACCTCTTCAAGAGTCTACATCAAGTGCCGGTCTCCACTTCCGAAGCTGAAAGGACCTACGATCGGTTTCGGCTCAGGATCTCGCTGACCGCACTGTCCAAGTCTCCCATAACGTAGAAGAAGAACCGCCCGGTGGAATGGTCCAACGCTCCTTGAAAGGTGCGTGGACGGCATGGTGTGTGGAAGAGCGGAACAGGTTTGTCTGTTGGTGGGTCAAACATGGTTGACCCTTGGACAAAGAACAATATGCCAGCATCGACCCCAAACAACTTAGTCAGCAAGATTTCATGGATTCCATGACATGGAGAGCCCATGAGAACCCCGACAGTAAACAGGCCTTGGGGGGAAAAACATGATTTCATGGATTCCAGGCCTTGAGTGTTCACCACAATTTTCCATGGCCCGATCCGGATCCGGAATCCAACTTCATGTAAGTCCTGGTCGCCTATTCTGAACCTGCAGGGCAGCCGCCTAGTCGGGTGATTCTTCGAGCCAAATCCGAGGGAAGTTTTCCTCATATTCTTTCTCTGAGCGTCTGCGCAACATGAACCATTGTCTTCAGTGGTGTTTTTCGAACCGTGTTTGGACGAGACTGAATCCCAACAGAAGACGTGGATTTTTTGCAACCTTTGGTTCTGTGGGTTGTGAATGACAGACTTCATCCAAGATTCCATCTGAGAAGGACAAAGTATCACCCACTGGCACCTGCCACGGACAGTGCATTGCAAAATCGATGGAACGTCACGCTTCTTTCCCTTCTGTCTCGCCTCTTTCTTGTCCCTCTCTCTCTTTCTCGCTCGTTCTTTCTCTTTCGCTTTTTGGAGTTTTTGAGAGCAAGATTTCACCAAGATTAAACAGGAATTTGCACATTATGTTTTAAAAAATATTTTTTGATATACAATGTGTCTTCATTGCACCTCCACTTCCCTCATCCAAACCATTCCGATACACCCCCAACACCTCCAAAAACTTCGACGTTGAACATCATTCAACGTATATAACTATATTGAAATATATTGAACATGATTAAACCCATTCCTAGTTCTTTGACGCCCATCTTCAAACATCCAGCTTCGCATTTTGAACATCTGCCGACCACCGACGCAGTAAAGATTGCCATGCCTTGGTGTGTGCATCCAGCGTGGTCAAGTAGCCCCAGGTCGTTTGGTGCACCAACCACCGTGCATTCTGCGCAATCTCCTCCCTTGGAAGACGAGAAGAGCCAGAAAACATCAGGGCGAGTTTCTGAAGATCGAGAATGAGATCTGAAGATCAACACATATTCTGGTAGCCATATACTTTATGTCTGGAGTATGACATGTTTAGTCCGTTGTAAGTCCTCAAGGAAGTCGCAAAAGGGCCATAATAGGCGGCCATAAGTCAAACATCAAGGTAAGGACATCCTTTTTGCAACAAGGACTTCGCTTGGAATGCTGGACGACTCCGCAAAATGTTGTCATAAGAAAGGACCTGTGCCACCATGACAATGCCCTTCCAGTACTGCTTTTGTGATGCATGAGAGTAGGAGGGAACAACTCATAACTTCTAATCTTAAAAGGTGCCGGTGTGGTACCAGCAATGCTGAACAACTCTTTTAACTATTGGCAAGCAAAACCCTTGCATTGGAGGGGTTGGGTTCGGGGTGGAACAATGGCGGCCATGACCATCGCATCCCCCAACTACACAATGAATAAGCATGTGAATCCTTATAACTTTACTAATTTATACATATCCTTGCATACCGGGGGGCTTCATCACATACATCCTATATGTAGACCCCACAACCAGTTGGTTCCAAAAAATCTATTCAGCGTCCAGCGTCGGCGTGCGTGCAGCTGCCAGTGGCAGTGCCAGTGCCAGGGTCACGATAGGCCACATGGGATCGGACAAAAATCGACTCCAAGAGATCTTCGATGAAAAAAGACTCTGCACATATCTACTTCGTTTCGGTGCTGAACCTCTGCTGTCGCTGAACCTCTTTCCTGCTTCAAATTCTGCGTATCTTCGGTGCTTCGCCGGTGCGACGTTTCCCCGGTTTGAGTGGCGCAATTCAACGCGGAGTGGCAAGATCTTGTGGTTACAAGAGGTCTGATACGCAATCCAAACAGTAACCATCCAAGTGACTGTTCCCCCATGTTGGATGCTTTGACTCCAATTCATATAAAAATCATCAATGACTCCCTACAGTACCGAGCCAACCGTCTGGTTTTCGCATGTGTTCACCCAATCCGAGGACCCTCAGCCCCGCCCCAGACCTCGGGATACAGGCTAATCCACCTAGACATGGGTTCGTGTCGATCACAACTTGCAGCAATGCCTTCCGCACGAACGGCACCACGAAGATGTACTGAACCAATACACCCACGGCCCATCACGGCCCCCACGGCACCACGCATCTGAAGGAGGGACATGGGTCCTTGGTAGCCTTGGTCAGTTGGATTCAACCACCCCAAACTCCAAACTGGTTGCAGAAACCACCTGGAGAGCTCCCGACCAACTCACATCGTAACTCCCGACCACCCCGCCTTCAAACGCCCCTGCGAACTGGAACGCCCAGACACCTGGTTCCAGTTTTGGGTGAATCGTTGGATGGCTTACATGGCAAAGCACATGGGCCACCAGGAACAAGGCTTCGACACTGCCAGTAGGACGTCTGGTGACCGAATATGTTTGTTTGGCCTTCCTCGTTGTCGTTCGATGCTTCCGTTAAGAGTAGGAACATCGGTGTCGTTCGCAGGTGTTTAGGGTGCATTCTGGCCTTTGCAACTTCCAAGGGTGAATCCCTCAAATGTTGGTTTCACAAAACAACAGTTTCACCACGTGAGTGCGTGTGCGTCGTTCCACATGTTGCGTATGCGAGTTGACACCTCAAACGTCTACAGAAACAATGGACCTATGGGGGGTTTAACAACTAACAACACAATTGTACACAGGAAAACACGAAGAATCAACCATTTGCCCGACAAACAGCATTGTTGAAGGTGAAAACCATCTATCTATCTACCTGTCTGTCTGTCTGTCTGTGTATCTGTGTGTCTATCTATCTGTCTGTCTGTCTGTCTATCTGTCTATCTATCTATCTATCTATCTATACATATATAATATCTTAACTTCTGACAACATCCACGGCAACCTCCGTGAGGTCCCTCAACCTTGTGAAACCAGTTCAACACATGTTCAAGACATGTTCAACACATTGGTGCCCACAAAAAAGAATGGATCCACTGACCGACCCCCAACGCGCTGGTTGAAACCCGGCGTTTCGTCACAAAACCACGACGAAATCGGGCCCCGGCCATGGACTTGGGCACCAAGATCTTGTCCCTGATCCACTCCTCGATCGATCTGCCCCAAGTGGCCCACGGTTCCCCATGGGGTGTGGCATCCAACGATCGCTGTAGCCCCCATCCAGGTGCATTGCGCTGCGTGGTCTGCTGGGCCGTTGTGGGCGGTTTTTAAGTGGGACCAGTGGAATGAGGTCTCACAAACCTTGGCAAAAGAGGTCAAATGCAGACACTAATACCCTGTCACGATCTTTACACTTTGTTTGCTACAGGACGACATCTGTGGACATGATGGCCGCAATATATATATATATCTACAGTATATCTATATGTTACATTTCTATTAGCTGTATGTTCCATTGTGTGAGAGAAAAGGTACCTTACAAACAAAACAATTTGGAGGTAGCAGCGCAACATTCCACAGGTATGGGTCAAGCCTTAACCTTCCAAAACCCAAAGAATGAATATCCTCAGACCCTTTTTGTTCCCCAAACAGTGTGTCCACACTAAGGTTTTTCCAACGGTAAGAGCTAAGTGGACCTTCGTAGCACTTGTGAACCTTGAAGTGCAGATCGTGGCAAGTGCAGCCCTTTATGTGGACGTTGAAGTGCAGATTTCCTGGCAGGCGCAGCACTTTGGACCTTGGTGCAAAGTTTGTGGCAGGTGCACTTTTTTGTGGACCTTGAAGTGTAACTTTTGTGCAAGCGTGCACTCGTAAGGGGCAGCAAGCATCTCTCTCCACCTCTACACATCTAGAACTCCGGACCTAGCTTCAATTCTCACCACCATCACCGTCACCACTGCCACCCACCACCATCACCACCACCACTACCATCACCACCACCCTCTATGAGAACTCACACCTTTTAGAGTTCAACCTCAACTGCAAAGCGAACACAAAGAAAAGAGAACAAGTGAACTACACTTCTCGATTTGTGCTCGACTGCGATTAGTCGACACGCGGGCCGCCGTTCCCAAGCGAAGCAACTCCTTTTTGCGTCGCCCTTGAGCCAACCGGTACGGATGGCACTTTGGTACACTTCTCGATTTGTGCGCCGTAGCGCACCATGGTCAAAAGCGGTGTGTGCAACCGCGACCGAACCTTCCAAGTGATCGAACGAAACGATATGTGGTTGCTCGAACGATTGCATAGGGTGCCTATATTTCACACCCCCCTACAACCATATACGAGAGCAGTGCTGATCACTTGGTTCATACTATCCCATACCTTGTGTTTTTTACTTATAAGTCCTGTTACGCTACTTATACTTATAAGTAACATAAGTAAACTTATCCTACTTATGGACCTTACCGAATAAGTAGGACAAGTGCGATGGTAAGTAGAACATGTTGTGTTTTTGAAGGTTTTGCTTCTTTCTGTGTTTTGGTAAATTTCAACCAGATGCAGCCGCATATTTAAGACATCTGTATTTATATATACATATATATATATATGTTCGTGTGCACTGGTTGGCGCGCGGCTGGACTTGGCCGCGGCAGTCTGTCTGGGGCCGTGTATATATATATATATATAGATCTCTGCGGCTCTGCGGAGGTGTCGGAGACATGACACAAACAACAACAAAAACGAGCGGCGCGGAAGCCCCAAACCACCAAAAAAAAGACAAAAAAAACAATATTTCCCGTCCCGGTCTTCCCACAAATTTCCCACAAATGATTTCATTGTTTTTCAATCTTCCCACAATTTCCCTTATTAAAGGTAATTGGCAGGGTCTTTCCCACAATCTACTTCCCCAAAGTCTTCCCACAATTTCCCACAATTTTCCCACAATTCCGGGCACTCCGTTTTCTTGCGCCCAGTAAGTGCTCTACATAGGCCCAATGAGCCCGATAGAGGCTTCCAGCTTATACACCTCAGAGACCAGCACGCCCACGGCGTCCAAGGTGTACAAGATGTCGGTTGCAGCTGCGCCCAGACTCCCTCGCCTCCATGCCTCCCACAAAAATGCTCCCACAGTCTATATTTGCTTAAGCCCAACTGCCAGGACAACCCTCAAAACCTCTATACCCATAAGTAGGTTAAGTAGAAAGTAAGTAGAACATTGTTTTTTTCGTCATACTTACGTTGTACTTATAAGTATGCAAAATGTTTAACATAACTAGCACAAGTATCTATATAACTACGATAAGTTCCAAGCCATTTTCGTAGAACTTACGCAACTTATCATGGTTATAACTAGGTTATAACTCTAGTTGTCCCATTCATAAGTATAAAAAACACAAGGTATATGGGCCACATGGGATTCCTGGACTCGCGACGAACCATCAGCCAAGCTTATCTAAGTACTTTTAAGGTCCGGATCCTTATGCACTTTTATGCTAAGCAAACAGGTTGTGTAGCAAGTTGATTTCAACACACTTTGCAAAACTTTCTTTACAAATCATGCAACATGGCCTTCACGGCTTTCCAGTCGTCCGAGGCACATGATCTCTCGTGGATCTGGAGGCATTCCTTTTCAAGCTCAACGGACAAGATTCGAAGAAATTGCTGCAGCGAACAAGTGCAGTACTATCAAGCCTTAAGCTATGTATCTATTTATGGAATATGTTATTTCTTCAAGTTCTTGCCTCTGGACCCTTAGGATCTCTACCGCCAGATGCATTGGTAACATCCAGTCACCTGCACTCCCCCGACCCGGCATTGAGTCGACCCATCAGGCCAAACAAAATGCAGCTTCCTAGGAACATCGGTTGCCGAGATTGCGAACCGTTGGGTCTGCACTAGGGGCATTCCAACTGCACAGACCTCAGAAAAGGTCAAATCCGTGACCAGCTCATCATCCTTTTTGTGCTTCAGGATCCCGCAGCTTCTCTTGTGATATACACGTCCAGCCTTGCGGGTCATACACAAATTCTCACCAGCAGGAATCAACTGTTCCGGGGTGGTCGATGATGGATCTGTTGCAGCTTCTGAGGCGGATGCAACCTTCCATGGCGGAGGTTCCAATGGACTCTTCGGGCTTGGAGGCGAATCTGTCGGCGGACGAGGAGATGACCAACCTGGAGGTGGATGATCAGGTTGGCGAGGGCCTTCATCCTGATCGACGATCATGGACACCTTATCCCAATCGTCATCGCCAGCACTGGGCTTTCCGGATGAACACGGAATCTCACCATGGGGCATTGAATGGCCTCCCCTTTTGTCCTTTGAGGATCCACTATGAGGGTATGGCGAGCTCAGATCGGGCTTGCTCTCCTTCGTGCCCTTGACACCTGAATTGCTTGCAACCTTGCTCTCCTCTTTGATCTCGATTCCACCAGCCGAAGTGCTGCTTGAACCGACTTTGACAACCACTTCGGTCGGGCTGTCAGAGTCGATCGTGATGACAACCTTCGGAGCTTTCGATGCCATTGCCAAGATCTAAGGAGGTGCAAGAATTCGAAAAAGATGATTCCCTTAGGGAAAGTGTGGAATCCTGAACATTTTAGCTGAAGTCGAATCTTTTTGTCGGGCAACATTCTATCAAGTCAAGATTCTGTTCTTTGAAGCTATGGCATTTAAACACAGTTGAAACATCATGCATGTACCGGTAAATTACTTCCACATTTGCGGACTTTGAGCGACCTTTGAATCGCATGTGCTTGCATTCATCTCGAGATTTAATTACATCTATTCTC